TTTTTTTTTTTTTTTTTTGGTGCAATTTTGACTTTTACTATTTTCTTGTTCCCAACATCTCACTGATTTCACACTAGTGTCATAAACCTAATACAGACCTGAAGGGGACACATATCAGTGTAACACTGGTCTGGTTTTGTTGTAAAGTCAAACCTTCTAAATTCCATGTCGTCATCTGAACCTTTGCCGTCCAAACGTTACTCGTGTCCGTGGGAGTGCAGTCGCCATGCCCCTCTCATGCTGCCTGGCTCTGTCTGTGCAGGCTGCAGCTCTTCGCCGTGCTGACCCACCCACTGCTCTTGTTTGATTATCCACAGCTATCTTTCCTGAACAGCTTGCTGCTCAACCCAGCTGCGCTGCTGTCTTTGGAGCATTTATGTGCATGTCAAAAACTGGCGTTCTTTCTGCCACAGAGATTTTTCTTCATCGTGATGTGCGGCAAATCACTATAAAGTGAATCTTCTTGTTTTGAGATCAGCCTCTTTCAAGTTTGAACTATTATTCAGCATGATTGATCTAAAATGTACTGAAAGGTTGTGAGAGCTTTATCTTCATTTTGTGCTAGCATTGATTCACTGCTTCTGTGGTATGTTTAGTCAAATTAAACATCTGCGACTTTAAAACCTAGCATTATTTTGGTGTTTTATGATCAAAGTGGAAATGAGTTTCATATGATGACTGTGGATTAAATTTACATGAAATTATCATTTTCTCTAGCATTTAAACACTCTGCATGCACTCTATTGTACTTGAGATGCACAGAGTGTGTGTGTGTGTGTATTTGAAATTGTGTGCCTGAAAAGTGTTGGACAGGCAGAGGCAACTGAAGTGGAAACTCTAATCCAAACAATGTAGCTGGGCCTCACTTGCCAGTGCACAGGGAAAGCACCATAGAAACAATCCCTGTATATTTCAGTTTCACTTCCAGTCAATTACTTCATTGTGATGTGAATTTAACATTTCTAATGGCATTCCAGGATCAGGTACTAAGCACCTTCATGCCCTGACTTTATTTATTCTGCTCGTGTTTAAACTTGTACGTCAAAATAAAAGTCTTCTTCTCTTTTCGTGTCTTTATCCTCTCCCCGTCTGGAAACATGGCTGTTCTTTAGCTAAGTCGCTTCAGGAGTTTGCAGCTGTCATACAAAACCTGGAGGATGAAAGAACAAGGATGGTGAGTGACTGTAAAAACTCTTATGTTGCAGGTTATTTTTAAGAGATCATGGGATTTTTTTTTTTAAGTATGAAACCTTTGGTCAGGTCTAGAAAATGTTTTTCATTTTATATGGCGCTATAGTCACAAGAAAGATTTCAGTTCCTGCAAGTCAGCAGTTTAGAGTTAGAACAGCTTTCGTCTCTGTGACCTTTCAGCTGTGTCGTTGTAAGTTTACTGTAGGTTGTATCGCTTTCCATCAAGTAATTATGGTGGCCGACAGGTGCAAATGAGCCGCAAACAGCTTAACGTGCCGCAAACACATGAATGTTACAAACTTTAAAAAAAAAACAAATGCAACAGAAAAAAACTGCATTAAAAGAAAATAGGCAGAAGGAAAAAACATACAACCAGCAAAGAAAAAATACTGCAAGTATATGAATCACTAAACCCCCACCCCAAACAGCTGCAAACAAGAACCGCTGCAAACTCAAAACGGAAGTGCACCAGACCAGTAGGGGGACTCGACCACTATCTGGGACCAGACCCAGCCACTTTCTAGAATCATAATACTTTTATAATATGCAGGGATGTATAAAATCTCTCAACTAAAGAAGTTTCAGTACTGTAAGGAAATAAAAAGTAGCTACTGTTAAAGATAAAGACAGAAAATTAAACATAAGTAATGGCTTTAAATCATGCAATTTGCTTTTTCATAGGAAACCCAGAGACAAAATAGTAAGATAACCATAAAAAACAAAGCATTAGAAATATTTGCCGCAGTATGAACTTTTTCAGAATTAGTCCAGCTAAGATGATTTTGCACATTTCTAAGACCTGTCACCGTAAAGTAGTACTCCCAATAATTTTCGTGTGGCTGTATCACTGATATTAGTGTTTGGATAAGTATAAAAAGTCTTTAGCAATTTAAAGAGCAGGCTAGTTTTTAAACTATTTTTGCCATATTTCAAAATATTTTCACCCAAGTTCACCAATCTTGATGAAGTAAACGCATATTACCTTAATGCCAATATACTGTGGATCCAATAGGACAGGAAATATGTTTATTAGATACTCTTGGTACTGTACAGAATGAAAACAATGATATTTAGGATTTTTCCTTCAATTATTGGTGATACCATCCTTCTCAAGACACGTTCAGCCCCGGTGCTCTGATTTTTGTTCAGCCAGGCTAAAAATAACCAGAACACACTTCTCTTTAACATAAAGTAAGTTGATGCCTTAAGTACTCTGTGCACATTAAACTCCTAAAATGAGCCACTTACATATAATGTCTGTACAGTGGGTCTGGTCCCAGATGACTTGATGGTGGAGTCCCCCTGCTGGTCTGGTGCACTTAAGTTTTGAGGAGTGAGTTTGCAGCGCTTCTTGCAGTTGTTTTGTGTTTTATTGTTTTTGATATTTGCAGCATTTTTCCTTTGTATTTATTTGGTTGGTTGCATGTTTTCTTTTGTCTATTTTCTGTGATTGCTGAATTTTTCTTTTGCAGTGTTTTTTTCTGTTGCATTTTATGATTTATTTAAATTTTGGAGTTTGCGTCAATCATGTGTTTTGTAGCACGTTTAGCTGTTTGCCACCGTGAATAATCACACTATTGTCTGCCTTTTGCTTGTGATGAACCGTCAATCTTTGTAATAGTTTCAGTTTATTTTATGAACAGGAAATGGTCGAGCTGATGACTCAGTCAGTCTGATTGAATCTGTGCGTTTGTGCTCCTCTGTAGATCGAAAACGCCAACGATGTTTTGATTATTCCTCTGGAGCGGTTCAGGAAGGAGCAAATCAGTGCAGCCAAGGTAAGAGCAGCAACTTCCTCATATTTACAGGATGAGTTAAAAAAAAAAAAAAAAAGACTGGACATGCACATGCTGCAGATGAACATTGATTGATGCATAGTGAAGCATGAATCAATAAATCTCTTCTGCAGCAGCTGCAACACCCAAATAGACAGTTGATAATGATTTACTCCCATATTTGTTTTGCTTTTACAATAAGGGGTGGCTTGTTTGTTTCTTTTTGGGTTTTATTATAGTTTATAATCCTACAAAGAGAAATATTAATAAAGTTACAGCTTGAATTTAGTTTGGAAATTTGCTTAAAAGTTATCTAACTATTAAATATGGTGCAGAAAATTGTAAGCTCCTAAATTTTAAGCACCGAAAATGTATACCGTATTTTTTGGACTATAAGGTGCACCGGATTATAACGTGCAATATCAATGAATGGGTCTGTTTTCATATATAATGCGCATTAAGCGAAACAAAATAGCCAGATAAGTCAAACTTCAAGGTTCGAGGTCAGTAAGCACAACCAGAATTAATACATAAGGCACACTAGATTATAAGGCTCACTGTTGATTTTTGAGACAATTAAAGGATTTCAAGTGTGCCTTATAGTCTGAAAAATACGGTACATCATCCCAACTTGTGCCATAGTTTTTCCATCAGTATGCATAAATTCTTCTTTTTTTTTTTTTTTTGTGCAACCAGAACAAAAGTGTTAGGGCTAACGTGTTATTTTATGTCAAGAAACAACATATTTGTAGCCATTTGGCTGAACTTTGAAAACATATGCACAGTCTCATGATGTTGTTAGATGTCACATTCATAGTTTGTGTTGTGGATGACTCCCACCTACTACCACATCAAGTTAACCGTTTGCTAATGGACATTAGAGGTGTGGCCATCTAAATGAATCGACTCAGTTAATTAATTAATTATTAGGCGTTCTTCTAATGATTATTTTGCAAATGTTTAATTCAAATCCATTCAGTTTTTCATGAAATACTTTGCTAACAGACAGAGATGATTCCAAACATTGTTAGCACTCAGAAAATATGTTGGGGATCAGTCTCAGCTACTACCACACCAAATATTAGATCAATATCTGTACAAGTGCCTGAGTTGTAGCCATTTTGGTTTATAAAAAAGGTCAGTTGACTGTGGCAACCATTATGAATTAAGATGACTTTAACAGTGAATCAGCTGGAGATTCAAATCCAGTGAATGTTTTCCGCAAGTTTCATTAAAATTTGTCAAGTGGTTCATGAACTATTTTGCTAACAGACAGACACACAGACAAAAACATCGTCTTCTGCCTTCACGTTTCAACGTCAGATGGTTATTTCATTAGAGAAACCAAAGAGAATGAACTCTGGGTATATTTTTGGTTCCTGTAGGGGAAATGTTAAGACATATCTGTGAAATATAAAAACAAAAACTCTTCAACATCTTAAAAGTTAACACTACAGAGATAATTTGCAGTAAACCCAAATTAACGTCATTATTAGTGTTTTGTCAAGGCTTTTAAGATGTCTAAGTGATCTAAACAGGAGATCGGAGAATAGTAAAATAAAAATCTAGCAAAGTTTTCAAGTTCAATATTTTTGGGGGGTAATCCTTTGCCCTACGTAATAAATGTGGCATTTGTTGTTTTGTAATCTGCTTATCCTGGATCATAATGCTCCTGCTTCATGCAGTCATTAGTCAGACAGTCGAGATGAGCAGCAGCAGGGGGTTTCTGAAACATTCAGTGTCAAACATGATACTGGTACACAGTGTGCTAGCACCCTTCGCTTCCCGCAGCTCATTGTCTGATCTTGGCATTGGGATTAGATTAGGAGATGAATTTACAATTTTTGAGGTCACCATGAGGGATGTGCTAATCCAAGTTTAGCTCTAAAAAGATCTGCTAAAATCTTCCCCTGGCACAGTTTCACCCTGCTCTCAAGCAACAAACCAAGAGGCAGTTTTACAAAATGAAAAGGAAGGAAATTAATTTGACCTACACACAGTGTTAACAGTTTAGAAAGACTAAACATCCCACATGCTCTGAAAACACCATTTGCTCCACCCCACTTGAGCAAGGCCTTTAACCCCCAGCATCTGCTCCCTTGGGTGCTCTAGTGCAGGGGGTTCTCAAACTTTTGGGGTTCAGGGACCCCCTCATCACCCTCATGTTTATTAAATAATTTTCTTCAATTTGTCTCTTTAATGCAATGGAAATATTTGTGTACCATAAATACTTAAGACCTGTTTTTTAATAAAGTTAATACAATTTTTATGTTTTTAAACATGGGGTATTTTTCATTCAAGACACACTTAGTTAACATTTTTAATTTCAACTTCCAAAAATTACAGTTTTGAGAAAATTAACCGCATCAGAAACCACTTAGAAACTTTACCTATTCACATAATGAACATACATGTATTGCTACTTCGAATTATTACAGGAAATTCTTTACATAAAACTGAACAGAATAGCAGCAGTAGTCATAGCAAGTAGCAGGACTCAGTTTGTAAACCGATCAATGCCGGAACGCAAATAGCAGGCAGGGCGGTCTGGGGGTCCTCCCCCAGAAAATGTTGAATAAAGTAGATACGATTTCCTGCATTTTGGTGTATTTTGACAGGTTGTTAAACATCTATGTGCTTGTAAATAAACAAAAATTATTTAAAATAATAATAATAATTATTATTATTTTTTTGGACCTCCAAGCGCTGGCTCGTGGACCCCAGTTTGAGAACCACTGCCCTAGATGGCAGCTCTGTGCTCCACACAGAGGGTTGTGGTAGCTCGGTTGCGTCAGGAACGACATCCGGCCTAAAAACAATCGCCAAATCCTTGTGCGAGTTGGTTCGCTGTGGCGACCCCCGAGGAAGGGAGCAGCCGAAAGAAGAAGAAACAAAAAAGAGGCTTATGTTGTGTAAAAGCCTTACTCTAACTATGATCAACTCACTTGAGTAAACACGTTGAGCATAAACAAAATGGTATATTTGACCTGCACACGTTTTGCTTTCAGTTTCAGTTTGCTTTACCATATTTTTCGGACTACAAGGCTTGTGAATCTCTTGGTGTGTTTAAGTGTGCTGTTACGGTGCAACGTTTTCAATACATTTGTAATTCAGTACATTCATGTCTGCGTTTAACAAAACAAATGTTTTAAGTTAATTCAGCACTGCGTTTATAAGCTCAAACGTCCAGGTAGACAACAAAAATGGCTAAATCATGTCATCTGGACCTGTTTCAGAAACATGATTTAGCCATTTTTATTAAATCAGCACAGTTTTTTCAGATCGGTATCGGATCGCTATCGACCTGTTTTTATCTGCGAGTATCGGTATTGGATCGGTAGTGCAAAAAGTGGATCGGTGCATCCCTAAGGTTTATATTCCGAAAAATATGGTAATATAATTTGAACCAAAACGTCAAAAACCTAAATAATAACTAACATATATATGTATAATAACTATTATTGTTTTACCACTAGATCTCCCATTAAAGATTAGTTTCATAACACAAGTGGGTTTATTTTTATTCTAAGTCATATGTGCCAAATGTGGCCCTCGATGACATCTTATCTGACCCCCAAGATGACATGTTAAACGTAAAATAATTCTTTCCCTTGAATTTTTTCAGTAATCTTTGATTACGATGTCGAAAGCACAACAGAGAACATCAAATGGGACCAATCAAACAGGTGCTGTATCATTCTGTGAGGATGCTGCCACCTGCTGGCAGAAAACATAAATAACACATTTTTTAAATCAAAGCTTAGCAAATTTAGTTTTGATAAATGAAAGAAAAATAAATGTATTTAGTCAATTTTTGTTAGTTTGAACTATATCATGAAACTTACTTTGAGGTACCAACATTTATTTTGGAGTAGGCAAAATTTCCACAGAGTATGAAAACTCGGGGTTGTTCAGAGTAGTTCTCATCTGATGTTTTCTGCAGCTGCCTTTTATTCCTCCTTTGGGCGGAAGGACTGGATATGCTGTCAAAACATGCTTGTAATGAACACCATTGCATCATTTTGTCTGTTAAATCAAATGTGATCAGTAAACAGAGGTGTGCCTCACTGGTATGCAGCCTAAAAGCTGCTTGGTTCAATGGAAAATGTTTGACCAGCAGATTAAAGCATGCCAAAACTTGCTTGACAGTTTCTCCTATTATCTTAATTTTCAGTTTATAGATCATATTCTTTCACTTAATTAAGTAGGAATATCTGTTAAAACAGCATAAACATACTCAGGATTATTAAATTGTATGTTTCTAATACTATATGCACCAGTTTGGTTGTACTTTGACTTTAACTTTAATGAATAATAACGAAACAGGCACATGTGAAGTAAAAATCCACTTTGCCTGAAGGAAACCCACCCTGATGTTCTTCCCTTCATGACTTCCTGCACCAGAGGTGGGACGTTTCCAAGTTCCAAGTGCATTTACTCGAATACTGCACTAAGATCACATGTAAAAGGGTTTCCCTTTATTATTTTTTTTTTGTCTTGAAGGTTTTTATTTTAGTTCACTCTTAACACTTTACCACAACAAAGAGAAACACTGTCATTTGAAAATAGCTAAATTGATGTGACAGCTTTGGCTGCTTTTAACATTAAAGTTTCATGTAAGAAGTTTTAAAAATAGCACAGCCTTTTTTTAGTTATTGGCCTACATTTCAGGTTTCTTTTTTTTTACCAAAACGAAGAACCGAGGAAGCGAACAAAGGATGAGAACAGATTTGTAAATGAAAACCTTAATTTTATTTTTATCTGTTTTAGTGTCGCTATAGCAACCCCTCAGGTTTATGTTCTTCCATGTAAAACTCTTCTGTGAAGTAATCCGTCGTACAGCATATATAACATTCTACATAAACCCTCTGCCTGCTCCCTTCTGTAGGGATCCCCACAGCAATTTGACAATGTTTTTAGTATCAGGGGCTCTTCCTGTTGCAGCCTGGACTCGAACCTGCAGCCTCAGGATTATAAGACCGCATCACTGACCGTTGAGCAACCACAGCCTCACAGCTACAGACTGATATTTCTAAATGAATATCTTGCGGGGTGATAATTAGTCCCTGCACTTTATGCTGTATTTGTTCCCGTAATAAAAATAGACATTTTAAATACTTTTTAGCTTCTACTGTGTGTTAATATTTATATCTCCTCATACTAAGTCACATTATTTAGGTAATTGTTTATTGATCCAAATTCTTCTTGTTGCAGACAAATAAACAAGAGAATCATTCAGAGAGGAGCCCAGAAGTCATTCTGGACACTCCCCAGTTTGTTCCATGTCCGCGTGCACACCCAGCTCATCATCCCTCCATGTGTCTCTGTCATGTCAGCACGCTCACTTGGGATCAAGTAGTCCATTGTTGAACAGCTGCACTTCCTGGAGCGATCATTTCACTCCGGATTCTTGGAAAAATGCAAACTAAAAAATGTTTGGCAGTACAACGGCTTAGTGGTTAGCACTGTTGCCTCACAGCAAGATGGTCCTGGGTTCAAACCCTGGTTTGACCTGGAGTTTGCATGCTCTCCTCGTGTTTACGTGGCTTTTCTCTGGGTGCGCCGGTTTCCTCCCACAGTCCAAAACATGCATGTTGGGCTGCCTTCAGGCCTCCCTTGTAAAAGAGAGCCGTGAGCTCATTTGCATTTACCTCAATAAATAAAGATGAATAATAATACAGTAATATTTTATGTTTCTTAACTGTGTGAATGTTTTTGAAGCATTCACATTAATGTGATCAATTTTTCTTCCGTACGTTTTTCAGCATATATCTCGTTCCACAATTTTTGTGCTATTTCAACAAATCATAAATCTAAACATTCAGAGGAGACGGGTGCTATGACTTTTGGTATTGGTGCATCTTTCGCTTTTTCAAATATTTGGCCTTTTCCGCCACTTTTTTCCTCAAAGAAAATGAATTGAGCTCATTTTCCATCCTTTAGATCTGTTTACAACCTTTTACTGCTCCTTTCACATTTTGTTCTGGTTCAGCTTCTTTCAGCTTCCTTGTGCAAATTTAAACTTTTTTTCAGCTACTTTCAGCAGTTTTTTTTCAGCAGTGTTCTGATCCTTTTAGATTATTTCTCCTAACTAAAACATTTTTGTGCTTCTAACTTCTTTCTGCTAATTTCAGCTTATTATGCTCCTTTCAGCTTATTTATGCAAGTTTCAGCTTTTTCTGCTATTTCAGCTACTATTCAGCAATTTTATGCTCATTTTAGCTTTGTGGGCTAATTCTGCACTTTTTGCACTTATTTCAACCTTTTTCAGCCTAATTCAGCAAAAATGTGCTCTCTCCTCTTTGTTATGGTAATTTAAGCTTCTTTCTTCATTTTTAGCTTCTTTTCAGCAGTTTTTTTGTGCAAATTTTTACTTTTTTCAGATAATTTTAACTTCTTTGTGCTCTTCTGCTTCTTTAAGCCTGATTGGGCAAACATGTGCTTTCTGCATTCTTCCACTAATTTAAGCTTGTTCTACCTTTTCAGTTACCTTTTAAGCATTTTTAGCTAATTTCAGCTGTTTTCAGATACATTTATTTTTTGTGGTAATTTCTACTGCTTTCAGCCTAATTGAATTATTTCTGCTAATGGCAGCTTGTTATGCTCCTTTAAGCCCATTTCGGCTACTTTTAGCTTTTTCTGACATTTCAGCTACTATTTAGCTCTTTTTATTCTAATTTAAGCTTTTTCAGCTAATTCCACATTTTTTAGCGCATTTCAGGTCTTTCTGTTTTTTTCTGGTAGTTTAAGCTTCTTTCTGACTTTTCAGCTACTTTTCTGGTGGAGTTTTTTGTTGCTAATTTCAGCTCTTTTAGCTAATTTCCTCATTTTTGTGCTAATTTCTGCCTATTTAAACTTAATTCAGCAAATATGTGTTCTTTCTGCTTTCTTCTGCTAACTTGGGCTTGTTCTTCTATTTCAGCTACATTTCAGCATGTTTTTAGCTAATTTCAGCTGTTTTTGAGCAAGTTCTTCAACAATAATTATTCATACTGCATTTTCACAGGAAATGCAGTTTCTCTCTTTCATTTTGTTCTTGTTCAAAGATTCTTGCAGCCTAACTTGTTTATGAATTGATGCCACTTAAAAAATACAGAAGCATCATATTTATATGAAAAGGTAAGATTTGATGTTAAACGCATACTCTGAGCGTGACATCTTGCATCATCACAAGATCGCTCATAACCTCATTTTGAAGGTTTGACCAAAGTGGCTACAGCTTCTTCATCTCACAGCACAAGATGATCTTTGTAAAATACTAGCCTGAAAGGTGTTGTGGGGCATTGCTACAAGGAGTGCTGGGCCTTTTATTTTTGTTTCAGGTAACATTTGACCTTATTTATTTTTTATTGTATGTGACAGGAAGCCAAGAAAAGGTATGACAAAGAGACGGAGAAATATTGCGCAGTCCTGGAGAAACACCTAAGCCTTTCAGCGAAAAAGAAAGAGACACAGCTCCATGAGGTCAGACTGAATGTCTTTGTCTTTCAGCTTTCTCACGAGGAAAAATGAAATTCCTTCTTTACTGACAAACCTGTGCTAATGTATTTCTGTTTCAGGCGGACAGCCAGGTGGGCAGCGTGAGGCAGCATTTCTACGAAGTTTCTCTGGAGTACGTGTTGAAAGTGCAGGAAGTCCAAGAGAGGAAGATGTTTGACTTTGTGGAGCCTGTAAGACATTCATTTTCTTTTTATTTCATAATAAAAAACCATTACTTGGACATATGGAAGTATATGAAGATGCTCAAAAAAAAAAATTGACTTGTTTTTGCAAACTTTACTTTTTTTGGGCTTGAGGCCACCTCTGCTGTGGATTTGAAAGAAATAAGAATGATTTGTTGCGCATAAACTAAAACTTTTATAATATTAAATCTACTTTTGAAACACGTCTTTGTAGTTTACTTTGACCTTAAATTGTTGATTTCTTTCTTCCCCCTCCTGTTCGTCTTCTCTCCTTTTTCTTCTTCTTCTCTTACATTTGTATGTATTCCCCATCATTCTGTTGTCTGCTTGTCCCTTTCCTTCTTTTCCTTGCTTGTTGTCCTCATCCGTTTTATTCCTTCACCGTTTTTTCTTTTTTTTCTTTCAGCTGTTGGCTTTTCTTCAAGGCCTTTTCACTTACTATCACCATGGATACGAGCTGGCAAAGGACTTTAACCACTTCAAGACTGATCTTACCATCAGCATACAGAATGTAAGAACACAAAACGCACACTAATATATTTTACCACCTAGTACAACTTGACTACGTAAAGCACTAGTGATCTAGAAGACTTGATCAAATGTGCTTTGATTAAATAACATGTTTCAAGGGCTTTCAGAACCTCTAAGTTATCAGAATAAATGTTTAAAATTTAATTCATTGGCATATATATATATATATATATATATATATATATATATATATATATATA